GTCCCAATTGGAGAGGGTGCAGGCCAGGCTGAGGAACATACCCTCCCCTGTGCACGAATTTCGTGCACCGGGCCACTAGTATTGTATAAAACACCATTTTGCTTGTTTTAATTGTTTCACTGCAAAGCCACTTTTTTCCTTATTAATCAGAAGTTCCAGACCATATATTTTTTGAAAAGTATCACTATTTGAAGGAATAAATTCTCCTTCAATCTAGAATAATTAGGAAACTAGAAGAGACTGAGAAAACCTACAAATGAGAAACCTACAAATGAGGTCCATGCTATTGGTATCCGTCCGTTATGGTTGTTAGGAATCACAGCAGACAACTTTTATATCAAACTATTAATTTCTTATTGAACTCTTCAACTGTTTACTTACATCATTGTTCTTCCTCTTGTCTTGTTCTAAGAAAAAAACAAATTAACTGATCAATTCTGATACAAATGCCATGGAAAATAACAGGGGTTGGTTATCTGAGAAACTACCACATATACAATGAGCAAAATTTTATTTCATTTTAAATACTTTACAACAAAATTTATAATTTGGAATACCTGGAAAGATGAGCCCCCTAAAGCAAAATCTAAAAACTTAGTTTTACTTTTTAACCTAACATATCACCTATATTAGGCACAAATGAAAGGCTCTCCATGTACATAAGAAAAGGGCAAATCAATTCAGACCAGGTGAGAAATGAAGCTGATGAAAAAGTTTACCTGTAGCATATCTGAACCTCTACCCAGTAGTGGCGTCTGATTGTCCATTTATACCCACCTCACTTGAACCACCAGGATCTAAGAGTTGACGCTCTGAGAACCAGTTTCTGGCCAGGCACCAGTCTCCAGGCTCATGAGCCTCCCTGGAAATGTCCAGAACCACTTATTGGTAATCAACTAAAATACCTCACTAAAAACCAATGGGTCTTTACTCCATTGGAAAGTAACCTATTTAAATTTACATTTTAAAATGAGTATGCTGCCCTAGCCAGTTTGGCTCAGTGGATAGAGCATTGGCCTGTGGACCAAAGGTTCCCAGGTTAGATTCCTGGATTTGATTTTGGTCAAGGGCATGTACCTTGGTTGCAGGCTCATCCCTGGCCCAAGCCCTGGATGGGTCGTGTGCAGGAGGCAACCAATTGATGTATTTCTCTCATATGAATGTTTCTCTCTCTCTTTCCCTCTATCTTCCACTCTTGCTTAACAACAACAAATAATTCAATGGAAAAATAACCTCAGGTGAGAATAAAAAAGAGTGTGTTAATTTAGCCCTGGATGGTGTTGCTCTGTTTGTTGGGCATCATCCTCTGCATCAAAAGTTTGCCAGTTCCATTCCTGGCCTGTGTTTCAGGTTTGATCCTTGGTAGGAGGTGTGCAGGATGCAGCAGATCGATGTTACTCTCACATGTACTAGTATGTTTCTCTATTTCTCTCCCTTTCCCTTCCTCTCTCTCAAAAAACCAAAAACTATTCTTTAAAAATATCTAAAAAAAAATGAGCATGGTAACCTTAATTGCACATGTCTACAGCACCCAGCATCATTTTGTTCTCACAAAGACCAGGAGAAGAATAAAAGCTCTGAATAGGGTCTTGGCTGTGCTGTTCCCCACACCGCCTCCTCTGGTGTGGGGTGGGCACCACAGAAACAGTCCCTTATGAGTGAAGAGAAGGCCATGGTGTAGCTTTTCCTTTACTGTCTCCACTCTACTGTGAGGCACCCATGGCTCTGGAAGGAACTGAGAAAAACAGCAATCCTAACCAAAAGCGATTAGCTTAAAACAAGAAAAACACACACACCATGAACACGTGGATAGGACACCCCAGGCTTTATTGTGAGGCATTACTTCAAATACAATGGAACCCTCATTCCTTGTACTTCTGCTGTCCTAATCAACTGAAACACCTGCTCACGTGTGGCATTTCCAGCAGGTAAACTCAATTGAACAAAGCATTGAGGAAGGTCAGCAGGCAAGCAGGAGAGTCAAAATGCTACCTTGCTGCTCAGGTAGTAAAGAGGGAAAAACATCCGGCCGCAAGGGGGAAAGCAGCAGGGGTGGGGAACCAGGTGCCCATCCCTAGGAAAGCTGGCTCCAGCTGGAAGGAGCCCCAGGCAGTGAGTCCCTCCCAGGGGACTGTGGGGGCAACGGAGGACAGAGGTACCCCAAAGAGCAGAAGGGAATTGCTGCTTCTTACCTTGGGGCGTCACTGGGGCGCTGATGTTCTTCAGGTGGTGGCGCTTGAGGGCTCCGGAAGTTGACTCAGACTTCGGGGTAGCAGGCACTGTTTCTACTGCCCCTGTGTCCCTAGCAGCCGCCTCATGAACCTTAGACTCACACTTTGACTTAACCTCCCTGGAGCCCCCATCCAGCTTGGGACTGGCACTGGGACTGGGACTGGCCTTCAGATAGCAAGTCTTCGAGTTCCCCATGGATCACCTCCACTTCTCACTGCTACTGCTGGTTCACTCACACTTCGCTCCCCTCTCCCCACCCCACAGCCCTCAATAGTCCCTCCCCCTAAGGAAGGCTAGGCCTGCAAGAGCAACCCCAAGGCTTCACCGCACAAGCAGGTAGGGCTCACCCACTGTTTTCTTGGCCTCTGGGCTGCCAGGCCCCAGGTGGGGCTCACGGCCCAGCCACACACCCGAAGCTGCACCTCTTTGGTTGACTCATTGGTGAGGACAGCAACCAACACGACTTATTGAAACGGAGAGGGATCAGAGAAGTGCTGATAGCTACAACCACAGTGGGAAGAGAGCACAGCCAAAGCTCCTTCTTCCACAGTTGCTTCTCAACTGAAGTCTGTTGTCCTGGCTGCTGCCAGCCAATCAGAACACATTCCACAGTTACCTGATTACACGGGACCAATCACACCCAGAGTTCCACCATGGTGGAACCCACAAAGAAGTCAGGGATTTACAATCCTTTCTTTAGACTTGTGTTTACATTCATTGTATGCATCCTGAAGCTCTCCATTCAGGAGGGAAGTGCAGTGGGCATTTGCTAGTGTAAGCAGGCCAGTGTCATTAGGTCCTGGGTTTTACCAGGTCTGATAGCCGACTCATTGATGCATTGCTCTCTGGACTTATTTACACACCTTCATTGTTGACCATTTTTGTAACTAAATTCTCCTTCTCTAGCTACATGTTAGCTTTTGCCTGCACCTTGCCATGGTCCTACTCTCAATACAGAGCTATGACTGTGTGTCTTAAATGGGACTCAAGAAAACATCACCCCTTTCCTTCCTCATAAGTAAAATAGGAACCAATCCATCCATCCAGCTCAGCAACACAGGGCTTCACCAGTTTGCTTTCCTACCTCTGGTTTTCCCTCTCATGGCAAGAGTTTCCTGATTCCCCCGAACCCCCACCATAACAATGCTTAAAACACAACTGTCACATACACAATTGAGAACCTCAAAGAGGGTACCACAATCCTAGTTTGATGAAGATGATGGTAATGATAGTTAACATTTGTCCAACCCCATTTCAAGGGAGGTATTCATTTAAATGTCCAAAAACAGCCCTCAGTTTACAGATTTTACCAAAGAAGTTGAGATACAGCAGTAAGCCATACTTTCAAGTTCACACAATTATTCATGCTTATCAGAAAATAATGGCAGAAGTAAAACATGGGAGGTAGTGACATTATGTCAGGAAATTGTTAAGGAAGAACAATTTTTTTTGTTGTGAATTTTTAAATATATTTTCCTTCATTCAACATTAAGTCTCTTCTGTGCACCAGGCACTGTATGTGTGAAACACTAGTGCCCTCACTGAGGCCAGAGGGAGGACATGTTTTTCACGGACACTAAGAGAGAATCAGTTCCACAGGAATTGCCCTATGCAGTTGGTTATTAGCTCCCTTCCAGGAGAACTTTCTTGATCTTAAAAGCTCACCCAACCTTGTAGGGGCTGACTGGCATGAGTGCGCTCCCTGTGACTCAAGGGAACCAAGCAGAGCTGAGATTTTCATTGGTCAAGGAGACTGCTGAAGCTGATGGGGGTGATGGCGCTCAGTCCATCTGGGCTCTCTCTGAGGAAGATTGTTTTTCTGTGTCCTCATCCCCTGACGGCTATTTCACAAGGATTTTTGCCCCCCATCTCACCTTGGTCCATTAGAGCTTCCCCTGTGGGCACAGGAAGGTTTAGCCCAGTCCTTACTATGTCTTCTCTAAAAAAAACTTGAGCAGCAGAACTAGCTAATATGCTATCTACCCTGGGTTCCTGTGGATGCATGGGGAGTAGTGGTTAGGAGGAGCTGCGGCCAAGCCCAGAGAGGAGGGACCAGGGCAGGGAGACTGAGCTTGTCCTTTCTCTATCTGACTGTCAGACCACACTCAGTATTATTCCTCATGCATTTTATGATTTTGACTTGTACTTGGAGGACTCCTGGTCTGTGTCCCTTGCATTTACAGCCCAGCTGGCCCCTGGTTCAGTCATCTCTAGGCTGTGTCTTAGTGGGTTTCTTAGGCCTGGGGTAAAAAGAGTGTAAAAGATAGCTTTATATATGAACTCCAGTATCCAGAGAGGTTCCTGTGGCCCCAGTTTGTAGCTGAGGTGAGTTTTGGGGGACAAGATGGAGGCCTCACTGTGGAAGAATTGGCCCTGTAAGGACTTAGCTTCCGAACTCTAAGAAATTGTGTCAACAGACCCTGCTGTGAGTATCAATGGCTCCTTCAAACCACAGAAGGAAAGAGCTGCTCTCCATGCCCTGCTGCCTGAGAATCACTGGCTAGAAGACCATTGAGGAAACAGATTAAGAAATAGAGGCTCACCACCATCCGCAATTGTCCACGGAGCAGCCACCCCCCCACCAGCTGCCGCCGTCCACGACCACCTGAGGAGCAGCTGCCACCTGCAACCATGTGAGGAGCAGCCGCCCTGTGACCCCCCAAGAAGCAGCCTCTGCCCGTGACCATACAACCCGCCACCAAGCCCACCGCTGCAGCCACAGGCCCCGTGTGACTCGACACCTAGATCCTTTGTTTTTAATATATTTTATTGATTTTTTACAGAGAAGAAGGGAGAGGGATAGAGAGCTAGAAACATCGATGAGAGAGAAACATCGATCAGCTGCCTCCTGCACGCCCCCCAGTGGGGATGTGCCTACAACCAAGGTACATGCCCTTGACCGGAATCGAACCTGGGACCCTTCAGTCCTCAGGCCGACGCTCTATCCACTGAGCCAAACTGGTTCGGCCAGACACCTAGATCCTTTGGTCAGAGCAAAAATGAGGAGACCAAAGAACAACCCCTAAAGGAAAGAAAAGGAGAAATCTCCAGAAAAGGAACTAAATGAAATAGCGGTATTCAATATGTCAGAAAAGGAATTCAGAATAAGGGTCATACAGTTCATAAACTGGATGGATGAGAAAATCAACAACCTATGTAGAATCAGGAGGAAATAAAGCATGATATAGCTATAATAAAAAACAATATGGAAGCTTTCAACAGTAAACTAGGAGTAGTAGAAGACCAAGTTAGCGAATTAGAAGACAGGGAAGCAAAACACCCAATCTGAACTGCATTTGGATAAAAAAATCAAAAGACAGGAGAAGAGCCTGAGGGAGCTTTGGGACAACATGAAACAAAGCAACATATGTATAATAGGGGTGCCAGAACGACAAGAAGGGGAGCAAGGGTTAGAAAACCTATTTGAAGAAATAATGTAAAAAGTCTTCCCTGATTTGGAGAAGAAAAAAGTCACACAAGCACAGAGAGCCCCAAATAAGATGAAGCCCAAAAATCCCACACCAAGACATGTCATAATTACCATGGCAAATGTTAACAAGAAAAGAATCTTAAAGGCTGCAAGAGAGACAGACAGAAAGTTACCTAAATGGGATTTCCCATTAGATTATGAAATGATTTCTCAACAGAAACACATCAGGCCAGAAAGGAATGGAAGGAAGTATACAAAGTGATGCAAAGCAAGGGACTGAATACAAGAATATTTTATCCAGCAAGGCTATCATTCAAAATTGAAGGGGAAATCAGGAGCTTCACAGACAAAAAAAAAAGGCTCAGGGAGTTTATCACTACCAAGATATGCTAAGTTTCAAGAAATGCTAAAGGGACTCTTGTAAAAAGAAGAAATAGAAAGGGAAAAAGGAACACAGGCACAAACAATAAAAATGGCTACAAACAAGTACCTATCAATAATAAAAGTTAATGGTCTAAATCAGCGGTTCTCAACTAGTGGGTTGCGACCCCTTTGGCGGTCGAACAACCCTTTCACAGGGGTCGCCTAAGACCATCCTGCATATCAGATATTTACATTATGATTCATAACAGTAGCAACATTACAGTTATGAAGTAGCAACAAAAATAATTTTATGGTTGGGTCACAACATGAGGAACTGTATTTAAAAGGCCAGAAGGTTGAGAACCACTGGTCTAAATACTCCAATCAAAAGACATTGAGTGGCTGAATGGATAAAAAAAACATGACCCATATATATGCTGTCTACAAGAGACCCACCTTATAACAATAGACTCACACAGATGGAATGTGAAGGGATGGAAAAATATTGTCCAGGCAAATGGAAATGAAAAAAAAAAGTTGGGGTAGCAATACTTATATCTGACAAAATAGACCTCAGAGTGAAGGCCATAACAAGAGATAAGGAAGGCCACTTCATAAAACTAAAGGGATTGATACAAGAGGATATAACTCTGGTAAACATATATGCGCTCAATGCAGGAGCACCCAAATACATAAAAAACTATTGGAAGATATCAAGGGAGAGATTGACTGAAATATGATCATAGTAGGGGACTTTAATACCCCACTGACATCACTGGATAAATCCTCTAGACAAAAAATCAGCAATCCTAAATGACTCACTAGATCAGATGGACTTAAGTGACATCTTTAGAGCATTTCACCCCAAAGCTACAGAACATACATTCTTCTCAAGTGCACATGGGACATTTTCAAAGATAGACCACATATTGGGTCATAGGAAAAGTCTCTCCAAATTCAAGAAGATTGAAATCATATCAAGCATCTTCTCAGACCTCAACGACATAAAATGAGAAATCAACTACAATAAAAACAATTAACAAAATTCAAACACTTGGAGGCTGAATAGCATGCTATTAAACAATGATTGGGTTACCAAAAAGATCAAAGAAGAAATTAAAAACATCCTGGAAATGAATGTCAATAAAAACACAACAATCCAAAACCTATGGGACACAGTGAAAGCAGTCCTGAGAGGGAAGTTCATAGCATTACAGACCTACCTCAAAAAACAAGAAAAATTGGTAATAAATTATCTAACTCTACAACTTAAAGAATTAGAAAGAGAGCAACAAGAAAACCCCAGAGTGAGCAGAAGAATGGAGATAATAAAGATCAGAGCAGAAATAAATGAAATAGAGACAAAAAAAATACAAAAGATCAATGAAACCAAGAGCTGGTTTTTTGAAAGGGTACACAAGATTGATGAACTATACCAGGCACTAGGGTTGTGGTCTTCTCTCCGCATCCTGCACGGAGGGGGAGATTTGAATTGGTTCGTGTAAGTAGGAGGTGCTTTCGGGATTAAAGAATAATGAAAGACAGATATAAAACAGATTAAAAGCTTGGGCTGGGTGTGGTGCCTGCCCGCTGGAGGGACAGGCACAGAGAGCCTGCCCTCTGGAGGGACAGAGCACACAGAGAGAGCCAGCTCTGAAAGCTGATTTATTAAATACTCGAATTACAGGAAGTTACATCACATCTGGTTGGGCCTTTAACATCATGAGATCCATCCCCGTAACACTGGGCGGGAGAGTCAGACTGGGTGGCGTCCACTGAATCCAGCTGATGTAAGTTAAGCCAAATGTATTCTAAGGGTCCTTAACAATGAACCTCTACCCAGGCTCACCAAGAAGCAAAGAGAGAGGACCCAATTAAACAAAATCAGAAATGAAAGAGGTGAAATAACAACAGAGTCCACAGAAATACAAAAGATTATAAAAAAATACTATGAACAACTCTCCTCCAACAAATAAACAACCTAGAGGAAATGGACATATTTCGAGAAAAATACAACCTTCCAAAACTCAAACAAGAAGAATAAAAATATCTCAACAGGCCAATAACTAAGGAGGAAATTGAAGCAGTCATCAAAAGCTTCCAGCAAATAAAAACCCAGGGCCAGATGGCTTCACAGGAGAGTTTTACCAAACATTCAAAGAAGAACTAAAACCTATCCTTCTCAGACTATTCCAAAAAATTCAAGAGGAAGGCACACTTCCAAGCTCTTTCTATGAAGCCAGCATTACCCTAATCCCAAAACCAGATAAAGACACTACAAAGAAAGAGAATTATAGGCCAATATCCCTGATGAACATAGATGCTAAAACCCTCAACAAAATTCTAGCAAATTGGATCCAACATTACATTAGACAGATCATACACATGACCAAGTGGGATTTATTTCAGGAATCCAAGTCTGGTACAATATCTGCAAATCAATAAATGTGATACATCACATAAACAAACTGAGAGACAAAAATCACAAAATCATATCAATTGGTGCAGAAAAGGTATTTGACAAAATCTAACACCCTTTCCTGATAAAAACTCTCAGCAAAGTGGGAAAGAGGGATAATACCTCAATATAATAAAAGCCTTATATAACAAACCTACAGCCAACATCGTACTCAATGGGCAAAAACTAAAATCATTTCCCCTATGACCAGGAACAAGACAGGAATGCCCACTTTCACCAGTCCTGTTTGCCATAATACTGGAAGTGCTAGCCATAGCAATCAGACAAGAAGAAATAAAAGGCATCCAAATGGGAAAAGAAGAAGTAAAACTGCCATTATTCGCAGATGACATGATATTCTACATAGAAAACCCTAAAGACTCCAGAAAAAAATTACTAGAACGAATAAATGAATTCAGCAATGTAGCAGGATACAAAATTCACAACCAGAAATCTATGACTTTTTTATGCACCAATAATGAACTTACAGAAAGAGAAATTTTTAAAAAAATCCCATTTACCACTACAACAAAAAAATTAAGATACCTAGGAATAAATTTAACCAAGGAGGAAAAGGACCTGTACTCAGAAAATTACAGAACACTGAAAAAAGAGATAGAGGAAGACATAAACAAATGGAATAATATACCGTGTTCATGGATTGGTAGAATCAACATCATTAAAATGTCCATACTACCCAAAGCTATCTATAGATTCAATCCAATCACCATTAAAATACCAACAGCATACTTCAAAGACCTAGGACAAACTCTCCAAAGATTCATCTGGAATAAAAAAAGTCCCCGAATAGCCACAGCAATCTTGAAAAAGAACAAAGTTGAAGGGATCACAATAACAGATATCAATCTATACTACAAAGCCACTGTTCTGAAAACTGCCTGGTGTTGGCACAAGAACAGACATATAGACCAATGGAACCAAACAGAGAACCCAGAGTTCAACCCAAGCCATTATACTCAATTAATATTTGACAAAGGAGGCAAGAGCTTACAATGGAGTCAAGACAGTCTCTTCAATAAATGGTATTGGCAAAATTGGACATATACATGCAAAAAAAGAGATAAAACTAGATCACCAACTTACACCATACACAAAAATAAACTCAAAATGGATAAAGGACTTAAACGTAAGGCGGGAAACCATAAAAATCCTAGAGGAAGTCACAGGCAGCAAAATAGCAGACAATTGTCATAGCAATATCTTTACTGATACAGCTCCTAGGGCAATGAAAACTAAGGAGAAAATAAATAAATGGGACTACATCAAAATAAAAGGCTTCTGCACAGCGAAAGAAACCATCAACAAAACAATAAGAATGCCCACTGCATGGGAGAACATATTTGACAATTTTATCTCCAATAAGGGTTTAATCTCCAACATTTATAGGGAACTCATACAACTTAACAAAAGGAAGATAAACAATCCAATCAAAAAATGGGCAAAGGACCTAAATAGACACTTTTCGAAGGAAGACATACAGAAGACCAAGAGACATAGGAAAACATGCTTAAAGTCACTAATCAAATGAGAGATGCAAATCAAAACAACAATGAGGTACCATCTCACACCTGTCAGAATGGCTATCATCAACAAATCAACAAATAACAAGTACCGGAGAGGATGCAGAGAAAAAAGAACCCTTGTGTACTGCTGGTGGGAATGCAGACCGGTGCAGCCACTGTGGAAAACAGTATGGAGTTTCCTCAAAAAACTAAAAATGGAACTGCCATTTGACCCAGTAATCCCACTTCTAGGAATATATCCCAAGAAAATAGAAACACCAATCAGAAAGGATATATGCACCCCTATCTTCATAGCAGCACAATTTACAATAGCTAAGATTTGGAAACAGCCTAAGTGCCCATCAGTAGATGAGTGGATTAGAAAACTGTGGTACTTCTACACAATGGAATACTATGCTGCTGTAAAAAAGAAGGAATTCTTACCATTTGCAACAGCATGGATGGATGTGGAGAATACTATGCTAAGTGAAATAAGAGAGTCAGAGAAAGATAAATATCACATGATCTCACTCATTTGTGGAATATAATGAACAACATAAACTGAGGAACCAAAATAGAACCAGAGTCATAGAAGCATCGAACAGACTGTCCAACCTATGAGGGAAGGTGAGAGTAAAAAACCAATGGACACAGATGAGGGAGAGGGGTGAGGGCACATGATGGGGTTTGGGGTAGGCCAGGGAGAGGTCAATGGGGGAAAAAGGAGACTTATGTAATACTTTAAACAATAAAGAATTTTTTTAAAAAAGACTTAGCTTCCACAAGCTAGCAAGGACCCGGGACACAGCCAGGCCAATGGCCCTCTAGTTTCAAAATGCATGGACTGGGAAGTACACACTGGGGCTCAGTGTGGTTTTACACCTGAATTCCTTGGGAGCCCTGGAGTTAGGGACCCCCTTAATTGCTGCATCTCTAGCAGCTTCCACCTCATCCACACAGAATCTCCATTGATTTTCACAGCAGGAGGTTGTGGGGACTCCTCTTCCTGGCACTGGTGCTCCAGGATGGGAAGCCTATTTTGGGGCTGGGACCCCTCACTCAACAGAAGAGACCTCCAAAGCATATTTCTTACCACCAGACTGTGGCTGTGGGACCAACCTGGTTCACATCCCTGCCCCTCCTACCAGTTTCCACATGGCTTCTTCTGCATTTCCTTAGTTACAGGACTTCTGTTCAGCAAGTCTTCAGGAGGTTCTCAAGGGTGGTTGTTCCGTAATTTAGTTGTAATTTTGATGTTATGGGAGGAGGCAAGCATAGTCTTTACCTGGGTTACTCTGCCATCTTGACCAGAAGTCCTCTCTTTACCTACATTTCTCTGTCAAGTTTATCAGTTTCTGAGAGTGATGTGTAACACAATAAAAGAGTATCTATGGTATTTATACATTCCCTAAACATTAGTTTCTTTTAATAGAACCTTTTCTCCTCTGATCTTTCATGTAACCATCTTAAATTTTGGTAGAATGTGTTTTTAAGACTATTTTTAAAACTATGCTAATTTTCATATACTTTGTTTTTATTTTCTCATGACTATTGCTATGGTTTTCTGGGTTCACTTTTCTTCTTTGTGATGCATATTCTTTACTGGTGTTTTCAATAAGGCCTAGGGGAGGTCAACTTTGAGACTGTCTGTATGTCAGAAAATGTCTTTACCTCTTTCTTTGATGGGTAGCTTGGCTAGGTGTTTAGCTTCTTAGCAATTATTTTTCCTTCCTTACTATTTAATATTTCTTAGCCTCCATATCTTTATGGGAACAAAATGGGAATAAAGCCCCAAGGATGGTAGCATAAATGAGACAATGCATTCTGAACTTGTCAATCATGTTGCTTAGCAGATGTAAGGTTGTCAATAATGGTGGTTATCATATCATTATTATAATCTCCAGGAAGTAATATTCTCAGAGAATGACTGCTTAAGACTGAGGAACAGTTCATACAAAAAAAATGGAATGGTTGGCATTAGTTGGACTTTAATTTTTAGACATTGGGTATCTTCAGCTGCAGTCATCTGCAAAAGGTGTAGAGATCACACAATCTGTTTCTGTAAATGCAGGGCAGGACAGCACAGGTGGCCCCATGCCTGCAATGCTTTGAGCTTCTTTGGGGGAGCTCCTGCTATATCTGCTTTGTTGAGTTCTGTGCAGAGAAATATGAAAAAAAGATTCATTCGCTCATATTTTTCACCTGAGTTTTATTCACCTGTACTTCCAAAGCAGACACTGATTTCTAAGGTCTGGGTGTTACTCTGGATTCAGTCTTCCTAGATTTTTAGTCATTTCAGGTTCCAAGTCCCAGGACTGAATGCAGAGTCATGTCTAAGCATTCTTTCCATCCTGGTCTATTTTTCATCTTGGAGAACCATGAGGAAAGGGGTTCCAGAGTGGCAGGTTGATCTGGAAGTCCTGGTGAGTCTGTACTTCAGAGAATGAAGTGGAGCAAAGGGCATTTGAAATGCCTGGGCTTGGAGGGGGGAGGGGAATGGAGGCACAGAGATAAGTGTGGTTGCTGACACAGGTCAGGGGAGGTGTGCTGCAAAGTTTCCTAAGAAGGGAAACCTCACGCTGAAGAGCATGCAGTTTTATACTGCGGCAATTTCTGCTCCAGTTTAGCCAACTGTGGAGTTCCTGAGAGATAAAGGGATATGAACCCACAAGACAAGCCGGAACTAGCAGTTTCCTTCAGGACTTAATGAAGGGGAAGAATTTTATCTCAGTTTCCTGTGAACCAGACAGGGGCCATGTTAAGAAGGGCCCAGAGAATGTGACAGATCAGTGTGGTTGATTTCTGGTCCAGCCAAGCTCCTTTGGGCCCTGGATGGGAACAGGGGCCTCAGGCAGATCTAGTCATTGCAGCTTCCTCAGGTCTAGGTGTGGCAGGTACCGGGCATCATTGCTGAATCTCAAAATCTTCCTCCTTCTTCCGCAGGCACACGGTGACCTGTGAAGGTGAGGACGGGGACTCAGAATGGACTGTCTGGCTGTCCAAGTATGAGAGAATACTAGGGAAGAAGATGGCCACAGCCACAGAGAGCAGACGTGTCCCTCTGCTTTAAAACTTTTTTTAAAAAATTGATTTCAAAGAGAGGAAGGGAGAGAGATAAAGCAATAGAAACATCAATGATGAGAGAGAATCATGGATTGGCAGCCTTGCCCCCTACTGGGGACCGAGGCAGCAATCTGTGCATATACCTTAACCTCCTGGTTCATGGATCGAAGCTCAACCACTGAGCCATACCGTCAGGTTCCCTCTCCTTTTTAAATTTAATTTTCTCTATCAGTCTTTTTTTCCCTTTCTCTTTTCCCACCTTTTATCTCTTTCTGTTTTTCTCTCCCCCTTTTTCACTCTCATTGTTCTACCATTTTCACTCTAGTAACCATTTATATTCCTCATCCTTCCCTCCCTCCTTCTCCTACGCTATAGCTTAACTGAGATATAACTGATATACAATAAACTGCATACATTTTATGTGAATGATTTGATAAGTTTTGATGATAACTTATTAAACTGTCACAATAATCAAGATAAGGAGTACCCATCACCCCAAAAGTGTACTCAAGTTCTTCTGTAATTCCTCCTGCAGACACCTTCTTATTCCCGGGCAACTGGTGACCTGATTTCTGTCCCTATAGATTAGCTTATATTTTATAAAGGTTGTTTATAAATGGGATAATACAGTCTGTTCTTTACCTAACTTCTTTCACTCAGCATAAGTATTTGAGATTTATACATGTCATTGCATGTATTATTCTTTCCTTTTTATTGCTGAGGAAGATCACATTGTAGGGATGTGTCACAGTTTGTTTATCCTTCATCTGTTGGTGGACATCTTGGTTGTTTTCCATTTGGGAGCTAGTACATACAAATTTCTAATGGGCATCTGTGTATAAGTCTCTTTGTATGTTTTATTTTCCTTGGATAAATTGCTAGGAGTGGAATGGCTGTAGGTGTATGTAACTTACAGAAGCAACAGCACTAAGCTACTTTTTATAAGCACTACATGAGAGTTCCAGCTGCTGAACATACTCACCAACACTTGTTATAGTCAGTCTATATAATATTTTAGCCATTCTCACATGTAGTGGTAACTCTACTACGATGATAGACTCAAGACTTTCCGTTACATTTCTCGAAGAACTACTGTTGTTAAGAAAAGAAATAGGCAAACCACACATAGAAAAATATTTGCAAAACATGTGTCCATCAGAGGACTGTATTTCTAAAATAGTGATATACCATGTAACAACAAGGGTACAACCTGAGAAAGGTGCCCTTAGGGGATTGCCTGTACAGCATGTTACTTTATAAAGCAACACACAGTTAAATCAAGAACAAGCAAAAATAATGCAATCACGAGATGCAGTAAACATGAGATGTATGAGACTGTTGTAGGCTAATGTGGCACACTGCTTTACAGCCATCATTTTTATAAGTAGAAAAGTACACTCTAAAATAATAATAAAAAGTATGGTATAGTAAATACCTAGCCAGTAACACAGTCCTTTATTATCATTATCAAGTATTATGGCCTGTACACAATTTATACTTTGATACAATTGGAAATGCAGGTGTGTTTGCCTTAAACACTTGAGTAATGTGTTTTGCCAGAACCTTATTAAGGATATGATGTCACTAGGTGGTAAGAATTTTTCAGCTTAATTATAATCTTAGGGAACCACCATCATATATGTGGCCCATCCTTGACCAAAATGTTGCTATGCGATGCATGACTGTATATAAAACACTCTTACAACCCAATAGCAAGAAGACAAGCATCATTTCCTCGCTTACCAGGAAACAGCAGATCAGGCACGTGGTGATTACCAAGAGTCCCGCCAAGCAGAAGAGGATGATGGCCCAAAAAGGGAAATCTGGGGGGACAAGTGCTGGGCTGAGCCACCATCTCTCATTCCCCAGGGATCTTGCTTTCTCCCCCCTGTGCCTCAAAGTCCGTGACATGGGTTGGCCAACTGTCGTTATCACACAAGCTCCTGTGTGCCGGTTTCTCTGGGATGAGGCACAGCATCAAGACATTCCCTCCCCACCTGGGGCTACCTTGAGGCTTACCAGAATTACCAGTCAGGGTCTCAGGTCTACTTGGAGAATAGCCTGGAAGGGAATAAAATGGAGAAGTGTTTTGCTCTGTTTAATAAAACTCTTCAAACACACAGAAAAATAGAACTATAGCATAAACATCCCTCCCCAAGTTTTAGCAATGTACTGGTATAGTTCACCCAATGAAAGCAGTATTTCACCCAATGCACAAATTATTAACAGTTGCTACTCTTGCCTCATCCCATATTTTCACTGAATATTTAAGTAGACATCATTATGTCTCACTCCATTTCAGTTTGTAGCCCTAAAAAATGAGATGCAATGGCTTACATAACCTTAGGCCATTGTCATACTACAATAATGTATTAAATTAAATCAAATTTCTACCTTTGGGCACAGAATATTGAAAGTAGGCTGGACCATCTTATGATTGTCAAGGGAGAATGGTTCATCCCAGTTGCAAGCACATGAGATCTCTCTAAATATGTAAATTACAACTCATAATCTCTTTTCTCAGCCTAGAATCACATTTACCTGCTTTTCCTTTACCACATTGTTTTATACTCATTTCCCAGGATTCAACTATAATATAATTTCTACAGGAAGCCTTCTCAGATTACCACTCCCAAGCATGGATTGATTTACATAAAATAATTTACTACTGACAACTACCTATTCCTGTTATTTTCTACTACAATATAAACTCCATGAGGGTAGGAACACATTGTACCCTTTAGGCAGGGTAGGAGGGTTTCTGTTCCCCTACTTCTCCCTAGCAGACTTTTTATTTTTAAAGAGAGTGGAAGAAAAGGTGGGAAGGTTGAAGGGAGGGAAGGAGGTGGAGAGAGAGAGAAAGAGAGAGAGAGAAAGAGAAAATATTAATGAGAGAGAAAGAGAGAGAGAGAGAGAGAGAGAGAGAGAGAGAAAGAGAGAGAGAGACAGACACCAATTGGTTTCCTCCTGCATGTGTCCCAACCAGGCTGGGGATGGGACCTGCAACTCAGGTACATGCCCTTGATTGGAATTCAATCGGCAACCCTTCTGAGCTCAGGCTGATACTAACCACTTAGCAATGCTGGCCAGGGCTTCCTATCCAACTTTTTAAGAAGTTCTGCCCAATACAGAGTTGCCACAAGGGGGCTTCTTAAATTATAATTTTAATTAAATGAAATTTAAAAATCTGGTACCTCCTAACATTAAAATCAGTAACAATAAAAATCTGTGTCAGCCATACATCTCATACTCAAAACTTCTATGTGGTTGATGTGCTGGGCAGCAGAGATAGAGAACATTTCCATCACTGCAAAAGTTTTATCGGATGGTGATGATCTGGGCAGTAATGGGCAAACTACATACAGCCTGCAGGCCAAGTCAGGCCCACTGCCTCTTTTTGTACAGCCTGTGGGTCAGAAAACAGGTCCATCCCATCACACCTGTCAAGGCTGGTTCACACATAGTTTGCTGCTGACAGCCCTCACTGACCATCTGGTAATTGACTTTCAGTAGACAGAGAAGGACTCTGAAGTCCAGAGTGGGAAAAGGACTAGCCTGAGGGCACAGAGCTATCTAGATGACCACAAAGGCCTCCTATATTCTACTGGGCATCCTTTCCTCTCCCTCAATAGTGGGTAAAGCCAGGGGACTGTGCTACCTCCTGCCAGCCTCAGAAAGTTCAATGCCAACTCATCCCCAGGCCTCCAGATTCCTAGGGAAGTCCACAGGTGTGGCACTTAGACCCCCACTCCTGCCCCAATGACCTGGAAGTCTTACCATCCACTAGCACACTGTTCCTGTCCAGGGTAAAGTTCTGAAGGTGGGTGCCATTCTGAGTCAGCTGCAGGAATTCCTCATAGATGGCAACTCTGTCCATTTTCTGTGCCAATGGTGAGAAGTGGCACAGGGAGTCCACCCTGGTGTGGTTGCTGTGGGGGACAGACCTGGAAGCACACAAGGGATGCAGAGGTATCTGAAACTCTGCCCTGAGTCTCGCTTTCCAAAGTTCTTGCCAAGAGAACTCTCCACAATGAAGTAAACCTTGTGTCTATACTGTCCAATATAATCATTATTAGCCACAAGTTGTTGCTGAGCACTTAAAATGTGGCTGGTGAGTGTGAGTGAAGAATTGAGTTCCTCATGTAATGTAATATAATTAATTCAAAACAAATAGCCACAAGGAGAACATCTGTGAAATGATGGAGTAAGGACTTCTGAAAACACATAAAAACAAGGAGAACACAATAAAAATGGTTAATATAAACTTTTCAAAAGTACAGAAATGAACCAAAGGCTTGCAACCATCTGAGGCGTGTTTAGTTAGGAGGGAGTAAGCGCTGTGGCATTATAACCTGCACTGTTCCCATTCTGTGCTCACAGTGTCCTCAGGAACTGTGAAATGCATCAGTCTCAGAACCATGTAACTGTGAAAAACAGCAGTCACATAGCCATCCTGGGTTTGGAGCTCCCCAAAAGATGCATCCCGGTTTGTTTCCATTTGACCTGTGTGGCATCCCCTTGAAATATCCCCTCAGCAAGGAAGGTCTATCGCCAGGGAGCTTCCTAAAAACAATCAGTGGTAACTGTTTTTGCATTGTAGCTGCATGAGGGAGCAATATTAGTTGAGGCATCCAAGAGCTGAGCCAAAAACTTAAGATAAAAATTGGAAGAATGAGATGCCTCCAGTGGGCTTTGAAACTCTCCAATGAATTTGAGGGGATGTAGAAGGCCGCAAGAGTACAGGTCTGGGTGCATGCCCAGGAAAGACTTGAAAAGATCTTAATCACTAATCCCTACCTGAAAAAAGTTATCTTAATATATTAAGAACTGGCTCATGAAATGCACCATAGTTATAGGATAAAGCACAAATACCCATTATCTTAATACACACACACACAAACAATTTCACAAAATAGGCCTTTTATGATTTAAAAAAACCTTCAACTTGGAGATTTTATTTTATTTTATTTTTTAAAATATATTTTATTGATTTTTTACAGAGAGGAAAGGAGAGGGATAGAGAGTAAGAAACATCGATGAGAGAGAAACATCAATCAGCTGCCTCCTGCACACTCCCCACTGGGGATGTTTCCGCAACCAAGGTACGTGCCCTTGACCGGAATCGAACCTGGGACCCTTGAGTCCGCAGGCCGATGCTCTATCCACTGAGCCAAACCGGTTAGGGCCAACTTGGAGATTTTAAAAAGAAACCTTCTCAATGTGACAAACAGCATCAAAAACAACAACAAACACACACACAACGAACTCCCACAAAAAACCTACAGCTAATATTATAGCCAGTGGTAAAAGACAGAATAATTTCCTCTAAGACCAAGGACAAAACAAGGATGCCTTCTCTCATTTCTTATGTTAATTGTACTAGAGGTTCTAATGAGAGCAATTAGGCAAGAAAAGGAGATGAAAGGCATCTAGATTGGAAAAGAAGATATAAAAATGTGATCGACACTGTGTTTTGCAGATGATGTAATACTGTATATAAAAAAGTCTGAGAAATAAACACACAGAATAGTATATGAACAATATTTCAGTAGGTGTATAACAATTTAACTGCCACATGGGGTTGTGGCTACACTACTGGACAACACGATCAGACTGCTGAATTTTAAGCCATCTCATGATAGCCCCCATCTTGTATGGGCTGTGGATTCAGGAGCTGATTTCTAAAGAAATGTTTTCTACAAGCCATATCCCATGGACCCCAGAACCAGACACCTCCATCTCTAGTGAGGCTATTTTTTAAAGTAACAGTTCTATATCCCTAGGGCTCTCTTCTGTAACAGCTAGGAACTGAGAGATTATAGCACAGGGATTCTCTTACCTAAAGAAGATCGTATATCCTTTATGTAAAAGAGAAGTTTACAGAGGCATTGGGCCCTGATTTGGAACTCACCTGAACGCTATAACTTGACAGTCAGAAAAATAATTCTTGATGCTGCTGTTTCGGAAGAGCTGGTTGAGCTGAAAGACAGGGTAAAGTTTCTCTCATCAGAACCCCAGGCTTTCTCAGAGAATGTTCAGCCACTGAGCAAACTTCTCCATCTGTTTTTTTCTTGGCTCAACAAAGACTAGTGAAGGTATGTGTACCAAAAAAGGCTGTGTTTCAGGGTAGGACTTAGCTACATGTGTGCCTATTTCTTCATTTGCAAAATGGGAATAAGAACTGGTATTCATGAATTGTTATGAAAGTCACCATCTGACTACGTAGATCTATAGGCCAGTCTCTACATGGAAAGAGAGTGGACACAACTGCATTCTCACCGCATTCTCCATGCTTCTTTTGTTCCGCTGGTGTGTGGTGGTGCCTGGTAGGCCTATGTCCTGGACATAGAGTAGATTGGTGACAGTGAAATTCAGCTGGAGGTGCTGAGGGCTGGGACTGCTTGTTGGTTTGTCTGTTGGCGGATGAACTGATGCCTCCACTTCTAGAATAAAAAGGGAATATAAAATCCCAATACTGAAGTTGAAATATTCAAAATATTCAAAATTCAAAATATTCAAAATTCAATATTCAACTTCAATACTAAGTATCTGCCAAATGATAGGTGGCACCAAGCCAGTGGGGAAGGATTTAACAAGAGGTCATTTAAACCAGTCTACTTATTGCTGGTAATGTGACCTGAACTGGGTTTTTTAAGATAGGCTCCAGAAGATCCTCCATCCACCTGTCCACTTTGAATCTATTCATTTATCTACCTGCGCAACCCCCTTTCCATCAAGAATTCTGGGAGTTCCCTAGGATGTCTGGGAGAGTAGAATGGGCCTCTCTGAGGTGTAGCTGGCAAGTGCAGGGGCTGACCAACCCAGCAGGCATCTGTCACACACCTTTGTTGGCCTAGGCTCCTAATGTTTTTTGCTGCTTCCAGTCTCCTTCCCTCTCTCAATCCATTCTCCACAAAGCACCCAGGAAACAAGCTTTCAAAAGTAGAACTCAAAGTGTTTTATGTTCCTCCACAAACCATTCCAGTGCGCAAGAAAGTCCCTGACCACCTCTTTAGCCTCAACGGTCACCTTCCCCATGTCAAAGTGCATGCACCAGCCACAAGATACCTCTTATAGCATCCCCAAATATGCCATGCTCTTTCTATCTTCTAGGTTAAAGACACATGTAGCACAACTATTTATCCCACGTCCCCCACAGGCTAGGTCATGTTCTCCATCACATCTTAGTTTCTTCATCACTTCCTTATGAAAACATTCTAAGACAGGGATGTGTGTCCCTCCTTGAGGTTCCCACAGGCTCTTGAAATCCCTTTATAGAAATTTTCACAATGCATCATCAGTACCTAGTAACTTGCATTAAATAGTAGTTGAGTGAATGAATAATAAATGACTCACAGAGGGCCTAAAAAGGCAACTCAGGACCCTCTAAATTTGTGTAAAAATAAGCATCCCTTTGAGGATGGGGAGGATAAGGTCGGTGGGGAGGTGTACAATTGCTGCATATTCTCTTTCTGCCTCATGTTGGATGATCCATGGCCATGAATAGGTTCACCAACATGGACCTCCAAAAGAGTACCACTTTTCCCTCCCAAGCCTACATCGGTTCCATTGCTACTGAGAAGACCCACCCTTCCTCAAAGCCCATCTCCACAAGCCATGAAACCAGTTCCCCGTCTTGTACCTGTCACTTGAATATCTGCCAAATGGTAGGTGGCACCCAGCCAGTGGGATGAAGCATTGAGGGTCTTGTCTAGAAAGATTTGTTTCACCATTCTGGGGTCTACACTGGAGGAGAACAGTTCCTGGATAGTGACTGTCACGGAGCCCAGCCTAGAATCAGAGACCATGGGGACTCAGCCAGCATCCAACACCAGCAGTGTCCCCTGAGTTCCTGCTTTATGAAAGGTGTTTAGGAGTTGAGAATAAAAGCAATAACAGTAATAATAATGAACATCTACTAGGCATCTTTAAGAAGTGACTTACACATTCCCTTATCATCACTGTGGTGGAAGGTATTATTACAACTATCCCCACAAAGAAACTTAAGTTAGGAAATATTCAAAGTTCAATATTCAACTTCAATATTCAAAATCATATGCCTCATGATCCTCCTCTACTGTGTAGATTTCCTAGTTCCTCCACCCATCACTCAGAGACTGGGTGCAACCCCAACTTGGACAGTTCGTGGGCTGTTTACTTTGCTGAGCCTTAGTTTTCCCATCTGAACAATGGGGACAATCATTGTATCCACTTATGAGGCTGTGATGAGAATTAAGTGAGATGATCATGCATGAAAGTGCTCAGTAGAGAGGCTGGCCACGGTAAATCTTATTATTGAGATGATACTGGTTGAAAGTGTCCAGAAGAGGAGAAGGTGGTAGATACTGATGGTTGGTGGCCCCATGAGGTTAGTTCTTTACCCACCCCTGAAAACCTATAGAAGGAGATGGTAGGATTAGCTGACAGGAATGTGGGGAGAATGGGCACAATGTTAGGACTTTCAGGACAAGATACACCACAGGAGCTCAGAGCAAAAACCACCAACTCAGCCGAGACTTCCAATCTCCTCAACTTACTTCAAGTCAGTAACCAGGCAGGAGTAGAATGCATCTCCTAGCTGGCTGCCTCTGTAGAGTTTGGTGACCTAGAATGAAGGGGAGGGAGAGTGGGTGAGAGAGGTCCCTAGGGGCTGGAGGCAGCCACTGGAGCCAGTGAAAGAACACAGGCCTTGGAGCAAGGGAGAACTGAGTTCAAATCCTCGCTCTGCCCCCAACTCACTGTGTGACTTAAAGCAAAGACACCCATTTCTGAGCCTCACTTTGCTCATCTGGGAATGGGGAAGGCAGACATGGTTCTGCCTCCAGAAACTGAGAGAACTCAGAAAACTTGAGTAAAGTGAAGTGCTGAAACAATCAGTTAACAGATAGATGTAAGTTAGAAGAATGAGAGGGGTACCCAGAGCAAGGAGATATAAGATGGGTGAGAGAGACTACACCTTGTCCTGGATGTCCCTCAGCAGGGAGGTGTACTCGGAGGACATGGGGTCTGGGTTGCTGAGGTTCCAGTTGATGATGCGGAAATTTAGCTGGTACTCACTCTGAATAGGTAAATCCTGTGGGGCATAGCCTAGGGCCATGAAAAGAAAAAAAAGACATGTCAAGATGCTCAGCAATTATTTTTCTTTTTACTATTTTTAAATATATATATTTATTGATTTTAGAGAGTAAGGGAGAAGGAGAGATAGAAACATCAATGATGAGAGAGAATAATTGATTGGCTGCCTCCTGCATGCCCCCTACTGGGGATCAAGCCTGCAACTGGAAAATGTGCCCTGACAGGGACCTGAACCATCATCTCCTGGTTCATAGGTTGATGCTTAACCACTGAGCAACACAGGCCAGGCAAGATGCTCAACTTTTAGCATGGAGGCATGGCATCACAGAGGTTTATGCCCTGGGGACTGTGGGGGTTCCCAAATGGAAAGTCACTCAAAGAGGGGGAAACTCGGAGTTTTACAGGAATTCTCCTGAGTTTTTATGTTTGTGCTTATGCAGTTACCACTTTGTAGAATGCTTTTCCACCCTCTTCCTGGAAAACTCCTATTCATGTTACAGAAGCCCAAAGGTATGGAGCTCCAGGAGAGTAGGAACCCACCCATCTATCTTGTTCTTGTCATGCCCCAGGATCTAACACAGGTCTGGGCACATAATATTTTTCAGGAAGCCTTCCTTGACTTGTCCCCCTCCCATCTCTCATCCCATAGCAACCAGTTATATAATGTTGCTGCAATTTTTGTGTCCCTAAGTAATCATTAGTTCACTTGACCATGAGTTTTCCAGGGACTAAAGCTGTGTCTTTTATCGCCATACCCACCCAACACACAGTTTGGTACAGAACTGTCACACATGTGTGTTTGCTGAATGAATGAATGAGAACTGCAGCAGATACCTACAGATGAGGGGCTGATATTCTCATCTTTATTTGTTTGTTCATTTATTGAGTACCACAATGTGTCAACTTATTAAGAACTAAGGATCTAGCATCCCAGTAGGCAAATCCTGATTAGAGTTGGACAATAAAACAAGTAATTGCAGTGAAGTGTGATAAGTGTTGGTGTGCTGCTTATCTAGGGACTATGGACCATGGAGAGCAGGGTCTCTCATCTTCAGAACTACTGCCATTTGGGGCTATATGATTCTTGGTGGTGGGGTTCTCCTGTATATTGAAGGAATATTAGCAACATCTCAGCCTCTGTCTACTAGATGCCAGTAGCACCTTATCCCAGTTGTGACAATTAAAAATGTCTCCAGACATTGCCCAGTGTCTACTGGGGGGAGCAGGGGGTGGGGAGGAGCAGAATTGTCCCTGGGCGAGAACAACTGACTTAGAGGAACCTTGCTTAGATACTATGTGTCTGTAATTTTGATTTTGCATTAAAATGTATTATATTAATTTGGTTAAAGAATTTCATGTTTTTACCAGAAATAATAGGAAATGCCCTCCCCATGGAGGTTGGAGAGGGTATCTCCCAGCCTGAGCTTAGACTGATTTCTTAAAGAGGAAATAAAATAAAACAAAGACATGTAATGAACACTGTAAATCCAAGTTCAGGATAAACACTCACCATTGACAAAGAGGCTGCCCCTGACCAGGGTATAGCGACCCATCTGGGTGACACTGTGGGTCAGCTGGCTCAGCTCCCAGTAAAGTCGCTCTCTGTCTAGCCCGGGGTTCAAGGGGTCAGGGTGATAGGTGCAGATGATATCCACCCTGGTGGCTGCTCCATCTTTCTCAGGCCTGGGGGGAGAGGCATGTGGGAACTCTAGAGAGAGATCCTGAAACTGCTGGGTGTGGGGGCCAGAAAGATGGAGAAGCTAATGTGAGGTCGGTGGGAAGACTGAAAAGGGGGTGGTCACCACAAGTGGCCATTATGGCAAATGCTCAGGAAAGAGTCTTACCTGAGGGAGATCAGTCTGCAACCTGAGTAGTAGGGGCCCAGACTGCTCTTCATAAACAAGGATTTGAGCTGGAGAGGAAGGAGGAAGAGGATGAGCAGGAGGGTTGGCTAAGAGGCTGGGTGGGATTTACCCGACCAGGAGCTGCTGGGACCAGGGTCTCACCAGGTACTGCAGGACACTCTGAGTAGAGTTGAACATGGCTGAGCCACTTCCCATGTCTACTGAATACTGGAGGTTGGAGATGGTAAAGTTGAGTGTGAGGGTCTCCAAGTTGTACAACAGAACTGTAAGAAGAGAAGGGGTTAGATGGCAGTCACTGAAAGCCAGCCTGAGTCCTGTAATCATGATAAATCATGATAATCTGTTGTCTTCTTTTCCAGTGGTACTGGTGTGGTCAAGTCAAAACCATCAGAAACACTCAGAAATATGAGTATTACTCATCTCACCTCCAAGTACTACCAACTCCACATGTGAATGATTCTCACATACATCACCTCTCTCCATCTTCTCCCAGCCTAGTTCTTAACCTTCTCTCACCTAGACCAATGCCCCAGCAGGCACACTAGACACCCTGTCTAAAAGATGTTCTCCACACTGAATAGTAGAAATTTTCTTAAATGAAAGTTTCACTATAGTCACCACTGCTCTATATCATCCATGACACCCTATGGCCTTCAGCATTAGGTTCAAGCTTATAATGACCTGGCACTCAAGTTCCTTCCTAATCTTGTTCTTACCAATATTTCAGTTTCATTTATCCATCTACTCCATATTAAGCTTTATACTTCATGTAAATGAAATCCCTCTCAATTTCACTACACTATGCTGTTTGTGCCTACTGACCCTTTGATCAATCCCCTCTACCAGGTGATCTCCTTCTCCATGCCCTATTTGACTAGAGCAGTGATGGCGAACCTATGACACGCGTGTCAGAGGTGACACGTGAACTCATTTTTTTGGTTGATTTTTCTTTGTTAAATGGCATTTAAATATATAAAATAAATATAAAAAATATACATCTTTGTTTTACTATGGTTGCAAATATAAAAAAATTTCTATATATGACACGTCACCAGACTTAAGTTAGGGTTTTTCAAAATGCTGACATGCCGAGCTCAAAAGGTTCGCCATCACTGAACTAGAGCATTCCTACTCCTTCTTAAAGGCTCCGTGTGGGTAACTTTCACCAGAAAGCTATTCCCATTCAAATTATACCAGATCAGGGTGGACAAACTTTTTGACTGGAGGGCCACAATGGGTTCTTAAACTGGACCGGAAGGCCGGAACAATAGCATGGATGGAGTGTTTGTGTGAACTAATATAAATTCAAAGTAAACATCATTACAAAAAAGGGTACGGTCTTTTTTTTTTTTTAGTTTTATTCATTTCAAACGGGCCGGATCCAGCCTGCGGGCCGTAGTTTGCCCACGGCTGTACCAGATGCTTCTTCCCAAAACATCCCACATTTTGTTATAATGGTCTGTTAATCTCACAAGCCTGGAGGCTGCATGAGGTTAGGCATTAAATCGAATTGTCGGTATAATTGGTTGCCCTAAAACCAGAATTTCATAGCCTAGCTCACCAGTTCCTGTATGACAATTGTCTGGTGGGGCTTGAGAGCTTCTCTTAGGAAGGAAAAGGGCCCCATCAAATACCTGTGGTTGCTTCTGGTTGCACAGATGATGACAAAGTGGGCAGGACTGTAGTGGCTGGTTCAGGAGCTATAAAAAAGGCAGTCATCAGTGAGGGACAGACCCCCCCCCCCCGACAAAGGGGGAAAGTTCCATCAGAGTCTCATGGACTCCAGCAGAAGTTGTCCTAGGAAAACCACTCACAGGTGTATCATAAATGAGAGTGAGGAAAGGTGTAACTGTGTGAGTATAGGGGTGAGCAAACCTGTAAATGAAATGAATTCAAGAGAGTGAGAGCAGGTGAATGATAGACAGACTAAACAAAGAGGTCAGATAGATGGGCGGGCAGAAAATGGACAGACAAATGGGATACCTGATGGACAGAGGAAGAATGAACAAATGAAGGGTCAAAGAGAAAGCAGGAAGAATAAAGACAAGGAATAGAAATTGGAGAGATGGAAGGAAAATAGGAGGGAAGGACAGATGTAGGAAAGAACAAACAGGTGAATGGTCAGAAGGCTGAGTGGACAGACAGTAAAAAAGGAGAGAAGAATAGCATAAAGAAGTAGAGTTGGAGAGTAGAGTTGGAGAGATGAATGGAAGGATGGAAAGAATAGACACAGGTAAATAAGCAGAAGGATGATTGTCTGGATGGATGAATGGAAGAAAAGAATGAAGGAAGGAAGGAAGGAAGGAAGGAAGGAAGGAAGGAAGGAAGGGAGGAAGGAAGGGATCAAAGGAGGGAGGTGTTGGGAAAAGGGGAAAGAGGGAGAAAAGAAGGCATTTGAGAGAGGGGGTAACTGGAATAATGGAAGAATAGATGGGTTAAAAGATAAACAAAGGAACCACTGGATGAGTTCATGGGCAAATTTGCCTAACCACTGAGTAGCCCCCTAGAGTCTGCAGTTTGATGCTGAGGCCCCTCGTGAGGCCCCTGTAAGAGATTTTGTTTTCAGGAGGCATGAACTAAAAGTTACTACGTGATCTCAACCCCATCCCTGTAGGGAATTCTTGTTAAAATTTCTTATTCTAACCCAAAGGGATGTGGAGAAATTAGAAAGCCATTATCATGGAAAAAGGTCCAAAAACAGGCCAAGGATTCAGCATTCTTCCTCCCACTGACACCTTGGCCCTACTCAGAAGACTGGCCTGGGTTTAGGGCAAGCTCCCTTTGTCAGTGAGGAGAAAAGCTTGGCTCAAGAACTAAGAAGTCTAAAATGAGCACTAGAGGCAAAGATACGTACTTGTAGGAGGCTCATCTGGACCACGTTCATTATAACCTGGAAATGAACAAGTCACAAATAAGGGAAGTGGCAGAACAATCCCAGGTATTCCATGCATTTGAGTCATGTGGAACTCCTGCCTGGATTCCTTTCCCTATGTGTACCAGGTGAGCATCGAGGCATATTCTAAGATGAGATGCAAATGTCATATCCACTATGAGGGCTTTCTTTATCTTCCCATTAGAAACAACCCTTCCCCATCCACCTATCCAGCATGCCCCCAACAAAAGATACACATTTATGTTCATACATTTATTCCCCCCTTTCCATATCCATACACTCCACCATCTTCCCTTCCATTCTCCCTCCATCTATCCCTCTGTCCAATGAATAGCTATTCAGGCTTACTATGTGCCAAGTTCCATTACATTTGGGGAACATACAGTGAACAAAACAGTTTCTGTCCCATTGGAGGTTACATGATGTCAGGTTGTGCATGTAGCCTTTGTCCCTGGTGCCTGGCTTACAGCAGATGCTTGGTAAATGCTGAGTGAGTGAACAAAATGAAGCATATAGGTTATGCAGTTTCCAAAGGGGGGAAATCCAAAAGTGGGCCCTGCAATGGCCAAGGTGAAGGCAACAGATGTGAACTCAGAACATCAAGATGCAGACTGGCCATAAACCTACTGTGCGTGTGTGTAGGTCCCCTCCTTCCTCTGAGCTCCATTTCCCTCCTTGCTAAAGTGGGAGTCACAAAGGACCAGAATGTCTCCCTGACCACCTGATGGGGCCATGGTGATAAGGAAGTGTTAGTTGCCAAGTATAATTTCCAGGTTGTAGACAGAGGAGGGAAGCTGAGTTATTGCAATTAACCTACTATGGCCAAGCTCTGTCTCTCAGAACACCAGATGAATGTCACCCTCTTAAACGCTGTCACGTCTTGGATTGTAGGCTGATGGCCAGTGTGTTGGAAGCCTGGGCCTCCTAGATGCTCAGAGTGCCTTCCCTCCTTCCTGGTATAGGGTCCCACCCAGAACAGAAGTCTATCCTTAGGCAAGGGTGAGAAGAGAGTAGGGAGGGGAGATAGATGTACGATTTTCTTTCCCCAAGAATCCCCTTGAAAGACTGGCATTGGATGCTGACTATGACCTAGGTCCACAACTCTCAAGCTACACCCACTTGGGCAAATTATTTAACCTTTCTAGGCCTCAGTTTATTCTTTTGTAAAACAGGTTTAATCAAGGACCAGCTTAGTGGGGTGAGGGAGAAGAATCAGTGTGGAGTAGATTCACACCTGAGCTTGTCTCAACTTTTTCCCTAGAGAACTGGTAAAAGGGAATCCTCTGGAGTTAGGGGGTGGCCCCAGTGGAATGGGCTGAGAACTGCTAACCATTGAGGTAGAGGCTGTCCTTATCCAGAAAGTAGGAGCCCAGCTTTGTGATGCCGTGGGTTTGCCAGCTCAGCTCATGGAACAGCTGCTTGGCAGGCAGACCTGGGCCGCTGGAAGGCTGGCGGTAGGTGCAGAGAAAGTCCACCCCTGTCTTGGCGCCATTCTTCACAGACCTGGGGAAGAAGAGGTTCACCTTTGGGGGACGCAGTTCTCTTGGCACCTCTCTACCTGTGGTAACTACACACTCTAGGTCCTGTGTTTCAGCCTTCTCGAACCTTTTATAGTTTCTCTACCTGGCCACACACTCTCATCTTGGGATCTTTGCACTTCCAGTGACTTCTGTCTGGAAGTCTCTTCCCTTCTTTCCTTACGTGGGCAATTTTCCTGGTCATCTTTCAGGTGTCAACTTAGGCACCTCCCCTTCCTCAGAGAACCCTCCCAGGCGGTCAGGAACCTGTTCTGTGATTGCAACCCTGCTCATCCAGTATGTGAGCATGTATTAGTTGTCCCTGTTCCCTCTGGTCGTTGACCTCCATGAGGTCAGGAAATGGGACAGTGTAATTCATTGTTGTCGTGTTGAACACCCAGCACCTAGCACATTGCCTGTTCTATGTAAAATCCAAAGTCCTACTGAATTAATAAACAAAATCTGATCTATACATGCAGTGGAATATTATTCAGCCTTAAAAAGAAAGACAATTCTGCCATGCTACAACATGGATGAACCTTAAAGACCTATGGTAATTGAATAAGCATCACAAAAAGACAAAGGCTGCATAATTCTATTCATACCCGGAGTAGTCAGACTCATATAGACAGAATGCAGAATGGTGGGTGCCAAGATTGGGGGTAGAGAGAAATGGGAAGTTGTTGTTTTGTGGATACAGAATTTAAGTTTTGAAAGTTCTGGATACTGGTTTCACAGCAATGTGAATATACTTCATACTACCAAAGTGTATGCTTTAAAATAGTTCAGATGGTAAGTTTGTTATGTGTATTTTACCAAAATTACAAAAGTTCAACTTCCTTCAAGGCTCTACATGGTGTAGATATCTCAAATCTCATCTCCTCCCTCTCGCTAACCTGTTCTCTCTCTGCTCCAGCAACACTGGCCTCCTTGCTGTTCACTGAACTTGCCAAGTTCATTTCTACCACAGGGTCTTTGCATGGGCTGTCCCCTATGCCTAGAACAGTTTTCATGGCCAAATCCTTCTGGGACACAGCTCAGAAGTCACCTCCACAGAGAAGCTACCCTGTCCTCAGGGTAAAACTCCTTTCCCATAACTCTCTACTTATTTATGCTTTGCATCACCTTATCGCATTTGCAAGCACTTTACTTCAATACTCACTCTCCTGATTCCTGTCTGATTTCTCCACTAGATGAGGGCAGAGGAAGTGCCACTGTGGTACCTACTACCTGCCTCATAGGTGCTGTACTATCATGTCAGTTTAATTAAAATACCAACTGAGAAGTACTTCATAAACACCAACGGAACAAAAACTGATCCAGAGACATGAGAATAACTGCCCAATGGGTACAGAGTTTCTGCTTGGGGTGATGAAAAGTTCTGAAACTAGGTAGTGATGATGGGTGCACACCATTTGCATGTAATTGATGCCACTGAATTGTACACTTAAATGGTTTAAATGGATAATTTTGTGTCTATATGTATTTTGTCACAATATAAAAAATTAATAATGTGATACTTTTTAAATGGATGCAGAAAAGACCCCCCCTCCCCCGAATAGCCTGCCACAACCAGGGGCAGCCCCACAGAGAGAAGCCCATGTTCTTTGGTGGTGGGCTACGGAGGGGGGGTGTTCTCACCTTAGCGAGGTGACCTTGCAACCTGCATATCGGGGACCAAGGCTGCTCTTCCTGAACAACGAGCTGATCTGGAGAGGAAGGAGAGAGCCAGTATTGGTCAAAGGTGGGCAACAATCCCTGTGATGGGTCATGGAGAGGTGGGAGGGGTAAGCAGGTCTCTCACCAGATGCTGCATGAGGATGTCTGTGATGTTGAACATGTGGGAGCCCCGATGGCTCATGTCCGCTGTGTAGTGCAGGTTGTCAATGGTGAAATTCAGTGTGAAAGGCTCCTCAATGACCTCCGCAGCTATGATGGGAGGAGAGCCAAGGCTTGCAGGGAGTTTGGGGGGCCCAATGTCTACTTATGACTAGGGATTCATGGGGCCCATGTCCTTCTCCTGATTAGCCTGAGGGTTACTTGTTAATGGAGACAACTCCAACAGTGAGTGGAACAGGCTTAATGATTTTGGGGCATCAAGATGAGACATTTCTACCCAGATGCAGGAGTGGAGGGCTCTGAGGAAACAATGTGGCTTTTTACTTTCACAGGAGAAAAGTCTCCAACTTGCCACGCTGATGGGGGGAACTAATGACCCTTGGTATTTTTATCCATATTCTTTCTGCTCCCCATCTCTATCTTTGTCTCCCTGTGCCTCAGTCTCTCTCTTTCTTCCTTTTGATAGATAGATATCTAAGTCTATATTTATGTCTATGAGAATTGTTGGCTCCTTACTATTGCACAGAAGATTGGCATACCTGGTTGTAAGTGCAGGAGATAGATCTAATCTCTCATCTATTTATCATTAATCTTTCTATATACTGATGTTATCTATCTACCTATTATCTATCTATCTATCTATCTATCTATCTATCTATCTATCTATCATCTATCATCTCTCCTGCCAATACAACCAGATATGTCTACCTTCTGTGCGTCGATTTAAAAAGTCTAAAAATCCTAGCAGCTATACCAACCTCTCTGCACCTCAATTTTTTAAAAAAAATTTATTTTTATTGATTTCAGTGAGGGAGAGGGAGAGAGAGATAGAAACATCAATGATGAGAGAGAATCATTGATCAGCTGCCTCCTGCATGCCCCCTGCTGGGGATCAAGCCCACAACCCAGGCATGTGCCCTTGATTGGAATCAAACCCGGGACCCTTCAGTCTGCAGGCTGACACGACACTCTATCCACTGAGCCAAACCAGCCAGGGCTCTGCACCTCAATTTACTCATCTGTAAGATGAGATAATAATGGTTCCTACTTCAAAGTATAAGGTTTAAACAAGTTAGTTTTTGTAATATGCTTAAGCACAGTGCTGGGTACAGAGTAAACACTATATGAAGATTCATTACATAAAATTAATAAGCAAACACCTCCTTACTATGTCAAAGCTTTTTACATGGATAAATATAATCTGGTTCTAGGATTACCCACGTTAAATAAAGTAGGAAACCAAAGCACAGAAATGGTCATCTGCCCAAGGTCACATGGCTGAAAGGGAGGGAAAATCTGGTTTGGACCCCAGATCTTGCTTGTGACACCCCTGCTGTGCTCTGGCTCAGAGGACAACAGGCAGCTGATATAATGTTCAATAGTTGGGATAACCTGTGTAGACCCCGTTAGAAGTAGAATAAATGAACATATGATACAGGTAAGACTAGTGGTCCCATGGCTTGACTCTAGAATAGGTAGGTGATGCAGGAGCACAGTGTTTAAGACAAAACTCTGGGCGGGGGGGGAAGCTTACCTCCCCTCCTTCCTCCTTCCCTCTACTCTGTTATCACTCCTTTTAAGCTTCCTTCTGTCCAAACTTCCTTCTACCTTTCCATCCATCTTTCATTTCATCCATCTATGGATCCTTGCTTCCTTCCTTCTTCCATCTTCACTTTCATCCATCCATCTTCTCTTCTTCCTTTCCTTTCTTTCTCTATCATCTATCTATCCATACATCCATTCTTCCATCCATTCATTCTTCCAACCATCATTCCTTCCTACCTCAGTGCTTCTCTTCCTTACTTCTTCCCATTTACACCTCCTTTTATGCATCCTTCTGTCCATCCTCCTACCCCCTTCTTCCATCTATTCATCCATCTTTAATTCCTCCCATCCCTCTTCTTTCCTTCCATCTGTTTTATACATCTGTCCTCCCTCCTTACTCTTTTCTCTTCTATTCATCTTTTCTCCCTTCCATCTGCTCTTCCATCTTCTCTCCTTCCCTTCTTACATTCATCACCTCTTCCTTCTTTTCATGCATCAATTTTGTGTTGCCTCCATGTGCATTTGCTTGTTCCTATAATGCTCCAGGAACTATTCCCAGGACTGTATAGTGATAAACAAAACACAGTCAATGGAGCTGACTTTAACTTACTTTTCCTAATATAATTTAGGAAAGGATGGTTGTTATTGGACCTCAGGAGCCCAGAGGCCTGTCATGGTTTGGAAAAAGTAAAGGAGGGTAGTTGGACCCAAGTACAGTTTGAGAAAACACACCCTAATGCAAGGGTGATTAATTATTGAAAACCTACAATGTTTTCATTGCAGTGCTTCAGATGCAAAGGGAGTTTGGCCCATAAACTAAAACACAGTAGGTGTGCACCAAAAATAAGCCTTTTGAAATAAATTAACCCATAATGGAGAGTTAGAGCATAAGTTTTGGAACCACAGGGACTCTGGATTCTATTATTTATTTGCTGTGTGGGCTGGCAGCCTCTTTTAGCCTGAGCTTTGCCATCTGTAAAATGGAGCTAAGTCACACGGTTGTAGTGAGAATTAAAGTACAGAGTGTATATGTTTTGGGATAAATTGTGTCCTCCCCCCAAATTCATATATTGTAACCCTAATAACTACTGCCTGTAGGTGACTGTATTTGGGATAGGGTCCTTTAAAGAGGCCACTGGTGGAGGGGCACTCATCCAATCTGACTGATGTCCTTATAAGGAGAGGGGATTAGAACACACAGAGAGACTAGGAATGTGTGTGCAGAGGGACAACCATGTGGAAAGGCAGCAAGGGGGAAGCCATCTGTAAGCCAAGGAGAAAGGCCTCAGAGGAAACCACCCCTGCCTGCAATTTGATCTTGGACTTGCAGCCTCCAGGACTGTGAGAAAATAATTTCTGTTGCTTGAGCCACCCAGTATTTTGTTCTGGCGGCCAGAACTGACTAATACAGTATGCAACACAGATGGTGCCTGGAAGGTAGTGAGTTGAAATCACTAAAAATGATGCTGAGAAACTCTAATAACAACAAAGATATGAATGAAAGGATAAGAAAAGAGAACCCAGGGTAAGGTTTTAGAAAAATTAAAATGAAAACCATGTGAGGGTCAGATATGGGAAAACATGTCAGTGTCTAAGATTTTCTCCCCCTGGGCTGGAATTCTCCACCAGAACCCCAGGAGAAAAAGAAGGGATGTGTTAGGAGCCCTTCCAGGTGTTTCTCTCACCAAGGACAGAAGGTGAAGGAGAACAAATGCTTTCCAAAACTGAAGTGGGAATGAAACCCAGGAAATAGGGGCCAGGAATACTCACTGGTGGGAGTCATGGTTGTGACTTGCAAGGTGTAACCTGCAGAGAGAAGGCGAGAGGAATTGAGTGAGTTTTGGGATGAACATAAAGATTAAGGGAAAGGGATTTTTGTGTGTGATAAAAGTAGAGGTGAAAGGCAGTGGAAAAATATTCAAGGAGGAGGAAACCGAGCAATGAGATTGAAGGTGGCTAGACCCAGTGATTACTTCATCACAAGGAAGACTGAACCCGGACCAAAAGGAAGAAAGGATGGATGATTTATTGCTTTAGAGCAGAGGTCTTCAAACTTTTTAAACAGGAGGCCAGTTCACTGTCCCTCAGACATTCCACACATGCGCACTGCGGGCCCGGGACGAGTCGGCTGCTAAGCAGGACAGGCAGCGGCGGCAAAAACACCCGGCGGGCCGGATAAATGTTTTCGGTGGGCTGCATGTGGCCCGTGGGCCGTAGTTTGAGGACCCCTGCTTTAGAGAAATGGAGGCAACACAAAACCCAACTTGGAGAGATCACGGTTGTAGCTAACTCCTCACCATTGACGCGAAGGCTGTTCCTGTCCAGGGTGAAGGAACCCAGCCGGGTGACACCATGGGTCTCATGGCTCAGCTCCCAGTACAGCTGCTCTCTGTCCAGCCTGGGGCCCCCATAGTCAGAGTGGTGGGTGCAGACAATGTCCACACCAGTGGCTGCTCCATGTTTCTCAACCCTGGAGAAGGAAGGACATGGGGATGTGGGATATGGAAGGGGGTCCTTTTGGGTGTGGAAAGAGGAAAGTGGAAGGGAGTAGGCTGAGCAAATGCTGAAGGGGTAGCTCTGAAGCCTTGTTGGGACTCTCTTAAATGTCTCTCATCTGACATTTCACAATTAGGCACAGAAAACATTTTAATTAGAATTTGCAGACAGGATGCAGTCTCTAATAGGAAAACCTTCAATGAAAAACAAAAATGTTCTCTGAATTACATGAACTATAAACACAATGCTTCATTTCTAAGCCTTGAGCATTCTCACAACCTCTGGGCACAAAGAAGCATGGAGGTATCATGGAGGGTGCTGAAGGCCAGCAGTGCCAGGGACATGTCCAAGAATTGAGCTCTGTTGGCTGGTATTATGAGGGTCCACTTGGCCTGATAAGTCACTCTATCTGGGGGTCTCACCTGAGTGAAGCCAGTCTGCAGTCTGAGAAGAGGGGGCCGACACTGGTCTTACTGAGCAAGAGCCGCAACTGGAAGGGAAAAGGAGGTGGTGAGCAGAAGGGCTGAGGGCTGTAGGCCGGCATGAGGTGGGGCTGACGCTGGTCGTTGAAGAGCCCTCACGTGGTGCAGTAGGACTCTCTCAGTGGAATTGAACTTCAAGGAAGCTGAGTGTCCCATGTCCTCCGTGTAGAGCAGGTCGGTGATGGTGAAGTTCAGGGTGAAGAACACCAGGGTGGGGGCAGTGGCCGCTGTGGGGGAGGAAGAGAAATATGTTCAGCTGGGATCACAGTAAACATCAAGGGTGCCTGAGGCTATAACCAGGGGGCGCCAGCAGTGGACTAAGTACAGCCACAGGCTGCAGGAGCTGAAAGAGAGAACGTTATGGAATTACTAAGACATCGGGAACCTCCACTCACTTATTCAGTGAGCATCTATTGAGCCCTACTGTGTGAGAGGCTCTGTGCTGGACTCTGTGGATCAAAGATGAATAGGGCATAGTCTCCTAATGTTGTGGCCAGGAGAGGGACCAGAGCATTATGACGCAGAGAAGCCAGAAGATGTGCCATTCAAAGACAGACACACCATCAACGACTGGGGAAAGCCTCCCAGAGAAAACATCATTTCTGGTCTCACCAAAAGCTCAAGTTAGAGTTAGGTGACAGGAGCTGAGCAAGTGGAAAAAGTGCTCAAGCAGAAGGCCCGACAGGAGGGCAGAGCAGTTGCACTTAAAGAACTTGAAGTCCTTTCACTGTGGCCTTTGGGGAGTCTAGACATGAAATTGGAGGGAGTCTCTGAGCCCAGGAAGGGGAGGCGGTGTCTATGCAGCTCAGGGGTTTTGGGTGTGATTTATAGAGCAGGTGGTCATCCAAAGATTCTCAACAGACAGGAATTATGTGAACATCGGGAGAGAGGCTGCAGCTGCTGCGTGGACTGTAGCAGGCTAGACTGGAGGCATCTACAACTGCCCTAGCAAAAAAATGCAGGTGGCCTGAATAAAGGCCAAGTGATGCAGAGGCAGAGAAAAGAAGGAATCATAAAATATTCCGTCAGGAGAGGAGATGATCTGGTGATGGATTGAGGCAGGAGGTGAGCGACAGGGTGGGTCAAGTCTGGAGCCTGCCTTTGGTGATGAGGAGAAAGAGTAAGTTTGGGAAAAGATGATGACTTTAGGGTCAGAGACCAAGGGGCTGGATGATATCTAGGAGGTGGGTGGACCAAAGGTCAGTAGCAGCTGTGTGATGTGGGCTGGACTCAGGATCTGGATTCTAAGCAGCTGGACCCTGAATAGCTAGGTGGTGCCTGAAATCCACGTAAATGAATGATCGAACAACAAGAAGAGCGATCTATTATCACTAGAAGGGGAGTGAGCAATGAGAGAAGTGATCTAGTATGAGTGATTTTGCAGAGAGGATTTGGTGCCTCCTACCTGTGAGCCTGCTGGAGGGGGATGGAGCCAGAGAAATGAAGGGTATGGATGTCACAGGAACTGAGGGGAAAAGAAAACAGGAATAAAATCTAAAGTGTACTGTAATCTTAAGGGAATGGTGGCATTAGTGGTGGTTCTAGTTATAAAAATGTGCACCTCTCTCTATGCATCATTTATCCTGGGGTCAGTTGTGTGGGGAGTAGGGAGGAAGGGTGATTCCTCACACCCCTAGTTTAACACATTCCTATGCATGACCTCTGGACTCCTTCCCATCCTCAAAGGCAGGGGTGGTAACAGGAGGAAAGAGTTGGCTGGTTGAGTAGCTTATTTTTAGGGACAGGGCAGTGGTCACAGGTACACAGAAATCTGAAATACTCACTATT